ATTGGAAACAAGTATAAAAACACGTTATAGACTCAGATAAGAGGATTCAGATAGATTGGAAACAAGTATAAAAACACGTTATAGACTCAGATAAGAGGATTCAGATAGATTGGAAACAAGTGTAAACACACGTTATAGACTCAGATAAGAGGATTCAGATAGATTGGAAACACGTATAAACACACGTTATAGACTTCAGATAGATTGGAAACAAGTATAAAAACACGTTATAGACTCAGATAAGAGGATTCAGATAGATTGGAAACAAGTATAAAAACACGTTACAGACTCAGATAAGAGGATTCAGATAGATTGGAAACAAGTATAAAAACACGTTACAGACTCAGGAGAGAGATTTTATATAGACTGCAAAGAAATATAAAAACACATCAGAGACTCACATGAGTGGCTTCACACAGACTGAAACCAAATATAAAACACGTCACAATTCAGTTCACAACATCACAGTTGTTCTCAAGCAATTTACTATTATAAATTGTGTCTCAGTCACAACTACATCTGTCGTATTCCAACGAGTGATGGGCGAAAGGCCTCTTCGTCTCTGGATGTAAAAGATACAGTGTGATTGACATGTTAGTACATACTATACACTCATACATTCTCCCAGAATTCCCTATTGATAATATAAATTCCACTGTCAACACTATCAGAAGCAACAACAACGCAAACAAGTAAAATCCTTTCTTGAGTTAAAGCATATAAACACTGATGTTAAATAGCAAGAAGCATATTATTATTTTTATATTATTGTTTTCTTTAAGGACACTTGGATCTGTTTTAAACCTATAACAGAGACAAGAAATGCCCAGAGAAACAATATCAACATGAAAATCTACTGCTCGAATTCGTGCTCACATCAAGGCCTAAAGTTTATAAACAAATAAACTCAATGTATGAAACACAAATGGGAAAACTGGGTTTCAATTTTGTATGAATATTGGAGTAAGACAATCCCTTTATAAAACTTAACACGACTTAGTGTATTTTAAGGATTTAATTACACTTATAGATGATAAGTAGTATTACAGTTTAGATATTTAGAACAACACTCACAATTCGAATGTTTTATAGTGATACTAAAAATTATCCCTATGGTTTCAATGTATGGATCAGACTTTTAGTTTACTACAGAAGTATCTATAATTGTCCCAGTTTCCAAACCAAATATAACATATTTGTTTATTTTGAAAGATATATATCGTACTTACCTGGCGTTTTTAACCAAAGGAGTTAAAGAGTACATATTAGTTGATCAAGTTAACCCTAAAGTAAACACTGAAGCTCTGTTTAATGTAAATCGTCCCGAAGCTCGCTGAAAATGGACTTATTTTAAAGGAAAACGTATGTTTATTTCAAAAGTTTAACAACCCTTTCTATATATTATTTCATGATAAAAATTTTAAGATTTTATATGTTTTCTACATAGCTTCTTCGTTTAATAGTGGAATTTATGAAATAAACTTCTTATAGGTTTTACAGAAACAGCAAGAAATGTATTGGAGATAATTATTCTAATTACTGATTTATTTTTCTTGGCAAATAAACAGAGAGATTAACGATCCTGAATTTCAAGTCCGAATGGAAAAGAAAATAATAGTTTTACTTCTTTCGTCACTGGAACTTAGATCATTGTAGTCCTGCAAACATATTTTATTACTGTTTTGCTTCATTTCAGCTTCTCGGTATTGTGGAAGACGAGCGGAGTGTTAGGTACATTCTCAGTTTTAAATAAGTGAAAATATAAATCTGTTCTATAAACCAGGCAGCAATTTACGATATTGCAAAAACAGATGAACGTTGAAGAAATGTCAATATAGAAAATCTCGAAACTGTAATTACGGTAATCTTTGGGGTTTTCTCTCTCTTAATGCATCTTTTACTTTAGTTTTGTCTGCAACAGTCCTCGAAAATGACAAAATGAAGTACTTGTGATTGTCTTCAAGATAATACAACACTTGATTCCGTAGTCTAATGTTGGAGAATATTAAATAATCTTCCAAGACCGATACAAGAAACGTTGTGATAAAAGAGATACATCTTTTAAACTTGATCCCTTGTCTTAGTGTTTTGTGGCTTGATCAGGAAATCTCTCTAGGAAGTTGACCTAATCAAGGCTTCTCCCTAGAATCAACCTAATAATTCTTTTTACAGTCTGAGGCTTTTCTGTGCAGTGAAGGTGTCTTCCACAGAAAAATAGAAAAACTGTGCAGTGAAGGTGTCTTCCACAGAAAAATAGAAAAACTGTACAGTGAAGGTGTCTTCCACAGAAAAATAGAAAAACTGTGCAGTGAAGGTGTCTTCCACAGAAAAATAGAAAAA